ATGTTCAGTTATGCACTCAATACTTGGTCGGGAATCCTTTTGCATGAATGACTGCTTGAATGAGGCATGGCATGGAGGCAATCAGCCTGTGGCACTGCTGAGGTGTTAAGGAGGCCCAGGATGCTTCGATAGCGGCCTTAAGCTCATCCAGAGTGTTGGGTCTTGCGTCTCTCAACTTTCTCTTCACAATATCCCACAAGTTCTCTATGGGGTTCAGGTCAGGAGAGTTGGCAGGCCAATTGAGCACAGTAATACCATGGTCAGTAAACCATTTACCAGTGGTTTTGGCACTGTGAGCAGGTGCCAGGTCGTGCTGAAAAATGAAATCTTCATCTCCATAAAGCTTTTCAACAGATGGAAGCATGAAGTGCTCCAAAATCTCCTGATAGCTAGCTGCATTGACCCTGTCCTTGATTAAACACAGTGGACCAACACCAGCAGCTGACATGAAACCCCAGTGACTGTGGAAACTTGACACTGGACCTCAAGCAATGTGAACTCTGTGTCTCCTCTCTTCCTCCAGACTCTGGGACCTTGATTTCCAAAGGAAATGCAAAATTTACTGTAATCAGAGAACATAACTTTGGACCAGTCAGCAGCAGTCCCAGGCGAGATGCTTCTGACGCAGTCTCTTGTTCAAAAGTGGCTTGACCTGGGGAATGCGGCACCTGTAGCCCATTTCCTGCACACGCCTGTGCACGGTGGCTCTGGATGTTTCTACTCCAGACTCAGTCCACTGCATCCGCAGGTCCCCCAAGGTCTGGAATTGGCCCTTCTCCACAATCCTCCTCAGGCTCCGATCACCTCTTCTCGTTGTGCAGCGTTTTCTGCCACACTTTTCCCTTCCCACAGACTTCCCACTGAGGTGCCTTGATACAGCACTCTGGGAACAGCCTATTCGTTCAGCAATTTCTTTCTGTGTCTTACCCTCTTGCTTGAGGGTGTCAATGATGGCCTTCTGGACAGCAGTCAGGTCGGCAGTCTTACCCATGATTGCGGTTTTGAGTAATGAACAAGGCTGGGAGTTTTTAAAAGCCTCAGGAATATTTTGCAGGTGTTTAGAGTTACGTCGTTGATTCAGATGGTTAGGTTAATAGCTTGTTTAGAGAACCTTTTCATGATATGCTAATGTTTTGAGACAGGCATTTGGGGTTTTCATGAGCTGTATGCCATAATCATCAGTATTAAAACAATTAAAGACCTGAAATATTTCAGTTGGTGTGCAATGAATCTGAAATATATGAAAGTTCCATTTTTATCATTACATTATGGAAAATAATGACCTTTATCACAATATGCTAATTTTTTTAGAAGGACCTGTACAATAAAACTTCCACACTTTCACTGCTGAACTACTAAACTAAAACAATGTAAAGTGAACGCCTTGTTTCCATCAGTTCGTTGTGACACTTCCATTTCAGTAAACCCTGATGATTTCATCATAAAGTAACTTCTGTGGGTGTGACAAAGTTATGAAATGTAACAGATAAAAGCAGAAAGTTTAGCAGACAGCTCACATTTTCAGAAAGCAATGTGGACCGCTATGAGCCCCTCCTGGAAGAGTCTTTGCTGTTTCATGCTGGTGACGTCAATGGGTGAGAACATTTCATTTACCGGATTATAAAGTTAATCTGAATTCAACTGAGCTGATTGATGAAACAGCTTCATAGAAAAACAGCTGAAAAAGGTAATGTTTTAATTATTTTTTTGTTTGATTTCTGATTTTTAATGTAACTAAAGCACACGAGAAGACTCTGCTTGTAACCTTGTTTTTTTGGTTTTCAGACTGAAATTAGATTGATGAATACATAAATTCAAACTTATCTTAAATTAGGGTAGACTATTAAAGATTTGGCTTTACTTCATATCTAAATCATTAATGTCTTTCTTTTTCTCAGGTGCACCAGGCTGGTGTACTGATCTGAAAATCTCCTGGAATGGTACAGTGATAGCTGACTTTACCACCATATTCACTTGCTCTTCTTCTTGTTTTACAAACTGCACATACACCTGCAACTTCACAGACAGGGTCATCAATGGGGACACATTAACCTGGACACCAGATTCAATTCATTTTAGTTTATTTATATAGCGACAAGTCACAACAGAAGTCGTCTCAGGGCACTGAACAGAAACATTAAGTTAACATTATAATGAGTTAGAATAAGTTAACACTATTTATCTGAGGAGCAGACTGTTTTGAGTAGAACTTCATTGCAGGCTCTCATCTTAAACAAGCATGACGGCGACAGTGGGAAGTTAAAACTCCCTCATGAGGAAGAACCCTTTAGCAGAACCAGGCTCAGGACAAGCGGCCATCTGCTTCGACTGACTGGCTTTGAGATGAACAGGAAGGAGGAATAGATACACAATGGCAGGTCAAGAATCACATGTTAAGATAGAAATAATATCAAATGAAAACTATTCAATTTTAACTATTCATTTAAGGAAATTAGTTCTATTTGTCCTCTAGTAGTCTAAGCCTATGGCAGCATAACAAGTCAACCCTAACTATAGGATTTTTTAAAAAGGAAAGTTTTAAGCCCAGTCTTAAAACTGGACAATGTGTCAACCTCACAGACATAAATCGGAAGTTGGTTCCACAAGTGAGGAGCCTGATAACTGAAAGAGCTTCCTCCCATTCTGCTTTTGGAAACTCTAGGAACCGTGAGTAAGCCTGCAGTCTGAGAGCAAAGTGAGATGGGCTGAATGATAATGTGGAACTACTGTCCTCAGTCCCCAAACAGGAACATACAGCAGTAGAACCACTTTTGTAGAAGTTAGGAGTAAGTCTCATGTGGTGATTAATGCCTTCAAACATTTGCTCACTCAGTAAACTTGTGTTCTTTTTGTGGATTTTTCAGGCAGCTTTGCATCTTTAGTTTATCATGTGTTTGATTTGTTTTCTATCTAATGAAGCCAGCAATACACTGTCTAATGGAGATCTAATTTATCTGAGATTTATTTTCTAAACCTTCAGATGGTTTAATTTTTAACATCTGTCAGGGACTCGCACTGTTATATTTTTCATCTGGCAGAGTATAGTCAAAATCTATCTTATATTTAAAATTTTATAAATCTCACAATGATTGTAGTTGGTTTTAGATGGTCATAAATGCAACTGCAGGAGGCAGTTGAGGGGAAACAAAACTGGTTTTCATAACTAAAAAACAGGAATAAAGTGTAGTGTTGCACAACTAAACAAACTCACCAAAATAAACAGGAAATGCTCAAAATAATTTAGCAAAACTCTGGAGCATCAAAGTTCCGACTAGAGAATTAATGAGTGACAACAGGTGTGCTTATTAAAGGGGGTTCCAGGGTTTGTAATTCTGAGGTTGAAGGGATTGTTGTCAAGTTGCAATAGACAGGATATCCTGAGTAAAACAATTGTCACATCTCATTTGTGAGTTTGCTCGATATAGGAACCTCTGAAGAAGGGATCAGCTGATCTGACATCAACAACAGGAGTGCTGATAACGAGAGAGAAGTAGATGATGGTGGAGCTGGGTGCAGAAATGACTGAAGACATATACACTTTGATGAAAAACACGATCAAAACTACTCTAAATCAAAAATACTTACAAAAAAAAAAACCATCAGATAATAATCAGAACACAAACAAATGATCCCCGAACCATCCTGATAAACTTTTAATAACCCTGCGTTGATCTTCTGGTTGAGAAGCATTGGCCCCTTCAAAAAAATTAAAATAAAAATAAAACTGCCAGTTTAACAAACTAACATTGATACATCTGTATTACCAGAACATTGTAGGTCTTTACTCTTACTTTGCACATTATTCTGAGTTTATCTTCCATTTCTGCAGAGATGCATGTGATAATGAAACTAACTCAACTGTGTTTTAAACTAAAACTTTTTCTTTTGGATCTAATGTTGCTTATCAAATGTCTGTTAAGATCAGTCCACCCAACACTGTCCCGTCTCTAAACCAGTCACAGCCTAGACCAGGGCTATTCAACTGCTGACCCGGGGGCCAAATTAGGCCCACAGGTGAGCTCAATTTGGCCCACAAATTGGTTCATTTGTAAACAAAACTAAATTTTAAACTGTAAAACAAACTTACTTAATGACAATAACTGCTGGATGTTTGGCTCCTGAGCTCTTGTCTTTCAGTAACTGTGGCCCTCCTGAGCAATTTAGTTGAATAGTCCTGTCTGGTCTGTCATGACTTGGCATCCAGGCCCATCGGACCTGGTTTGGTACAAAGATGGACAGAAAGTGGCTCTGAGTGAAAATATGCAGCTTCTACGAAACAACACTCTTCACTTTGACTCCCGTTTACCCTCTGATGCTGCACCACTGTGAAACCTGACGACATTACTAATACGATACCATTACTAATTACCATTACTAATACTAATACGAGTTCACAGCTTGGGATTTCTTCTTAGTTCAAGCTCAAGTTCAAGTATCTTTATTGTCATCCGCATCACATGTGATACATGAGGTGGAACAAAATTGTGTACTCAAGGTCCCAGCTACACCCAAAAATAGCAAAAATATAAAGTATAAAAAGAAACAGTATACAAGGATCTAAGATATACACTAAACAAAAGCTTAACTGTACACCAAAGGATCTAAGATATATGCAAAACACTTATAATGTAAAATAATATGGTACATTAAGCAGCAGCCCGAGCATGAGCCTTTAGTGAGTAGATGAAGTACCCATCTACTTAGCTACTTCTTAGCTGCAAGTATCTAAATAAGAGAGGACATGCACTTGGAGTAAACCTACCATTCATTGATGTTGTCAACTTTTTGTGTAGGTGATCCATGGAACGTCAGCATCAGTGGACCAGACGTCGTCTATCCTGGCAGTCTGAGTCAGTTCACCTGCCTGACCAGCTGCACCTTAAACGTCGAGTGTACTGTCAGCTGGCTGTTCAGAGGGGGGTTCCCCGTCGGACCCTACCTTTCAATCAATGCAAATGTTGTCAAGTGGACCCCTTCCATCCCCGGGACTTTCCAGAACTTCACATGCCTCGCAGCAAATAGAACTGCTGGACTCTCTGCACAGGGCACAAAGATGGTCGAAGTTAGAGGTCAGTACTTGCTCCACTCTTTGGCAATGTTCTACGTTAAATTTGAATTATTAATCTAATTTGTTCCTGTTTTTGTCATTTTTATGTCTGATCAGCTGTTCCAGTTCCAGAATCAGAAGCGGTGCGGCTCAGTGGACTGTCAGTGTTGGTCTTTATCTCCTTTATGGTTCATCTAGCTGTTTGCTTTTTCATATTTTAAGATATCATCATTGTATTGTTCCTTCTAATTTATTCCTAATTATGAAAATGGTTATGAAAAAAATACAAATTTAAATATTCTTAATTAAATGGTGTTGATTTGTCAGTTTGTGAGTAACAACCCTGCTGTTAATTTTACTTTGTCACAGAATTCTGAGTATTTCCTTGATAATAAGATTTTTATTATTTTTTATTATTAAGATTTTTATTATTTCTTATTTTTCATATTTCTTAGTTCATATCTTAGATCTTATTACTGTTTTTCGTTTACAATTTATACTTTTATTGAATGTAACTGGGACCCTGTGTGCATAATTTCGTTCCACCTCATGTACCACATGCGATGCGAATGACAATAAAGAACCTTGACCTTGACCTTGATTTTGTATTTTCTAACCCCAACATACACACACAAGACATTTCTTCTTTTATGAAAGACATTGTGACATTTTTACTCATTGCTGCAAATACCATTACATTAAATACAACTTGTGTGATTTACTATCTTTCCTCACTTCATGTTTGTAATATTTTCAGAGAGTCAGAGATTCTTTAATGTCGTTCACACCACATGTACCACATGTGGTGTGAACGAAATTATCTACAAAGGGTCCCAGTTACATCCAACAATAAAATGTAAAAGAAAACCAATGATAACATCTAAGATATGAACTAAGAAAAACATCAACTAAAAATACACTAAGCACTAATAGCATAAAAACATTACGTCGAACAGCAGCACAAACATTTTATGAATTTCTGTAAAATTAAACTTAAGGAAAAAAATTTATTTTTTATTTTACAGACCAGGATGTATAACTGATCCACTAACACACTGACTGGAAACTACTAAAGTTCATTTAACCATGAAATGTGGGAACTCTGACTTGTTTACTCGGAACATCTGTTGTTATCGACTCGTCTCGTTTGTAGCCGTCTAAAACTGAATAAATAGGAGATAAGACTATCACCCTGAGCAAACTGAAAGAAACTGAAGTGTGTTTTGTAGCAGTGGCCTTGTGTGACAAAACTGTGAATGTTATCTTGTAGCTTACTCCCTGTTCTTCATATAGAACTGGAAGCCGGCATAAAAAATATATGTATTTTGGGCTTTTGTTTAATTAAGCATCAGATATTTAAAGATTGCAGAGTGGTGTTACAATCATGGAGGCAATGGCAACAACAGCTCAGCTGAGATTATTTTACGTCATTTCTAATAAAACATAAAATAAAATGTTGTTCCTGGCTACCATTTTTGCAATAAATGAGTTTATACTTTGGTTAGTACATGTATCAGGTCTTATTTGTATTATATTAGCTGGTATGTGATGTGTATTACTTTTACCAAAAAAGCTTGAATAAATGTGCTTTCTTTACAAATCCAGAGATTTTATTTTTTTTTTTTTTTTTTTTTTACATCAATGTGAACAAGTGTATGGGGCATTGAGCTCCTTGTAGTTTAATTTAAACTTTAATGTTTGGTGTGAATTTACCAAATTTCCTAAAAGTGGGAAGAATTCTCTAAAAAAAACTCCCATGATAATTACTTGTTTCATCCATTAGTATATTTAAACATAAAGTCAATGTAGATTTTACATAACAAAAACACATTTTATATATTACATTTTTTATAAAATTATGTAAATTCATATATATATATATATATATATATATATA